CTACTGTATTTATATCTTTTCAATTACATATAACAATAAATAAAATATATTAAATAAATAAATTATATCTATTATACCAACTATGTCAATAATGTTATAATAATTATTAATGTCAATAATATCAACAATGTCAATAATGTCATTAATGTCAACTATATCAACAATGTCAAGAATATCATATAATATATGTAGATTAATTTGTAGGTCATCTAATATATTAATTTTATATAATTTTTTGTGCAATTTCTTTAGTAGATCAATTTAGTGAAACATGTTGATTATCTACTTTGCCACATTTTTTTGTTAAAATAACCTATAATAATATATTTACAAATTTCTTTTTTATATTAATACTAATAACAGTACAAGTTTTTTATTATTGAGATTATTGTAAGTAAAATGTTATGTGAATTATATAAGTTACGCAAACTGTGTAAATTTACATATCATATTTATATCCAATTAATTATATAAATTATAAATTACGTGATTTACCTGTGATTATAAGAGGAATTTTTTCATATATTTATTATAATATTGGGACTAATAATTAGTGTAATTATATTTATAACTAATATAGTAATTATAAAGAGGGTATTTTATTATTAAAAAAATCAGGACTAAACTTTCATATGATTTAAAAAAGAAGTGACTATATATGAAGTGATTATAGAGAGGGTCAACTGTACATGAATTTTTACAGGTTTGTAATTTATTCAAAAATTTTATTTAAAAGTATATTATATATATTTATTAATAATTAACTATATTTAGCATTTTAAAAAAGGATCAGATTTTATTATTGGTCAATTATATATATTCTACACTTTTATATAATATTCCAGTTTATAATTAATTAATAGATATACTTGAAGATACAATTAATAATGATAATAATAAAACTGAAATTACAAATTCAGCAAAATTAGCAAGAGATAAATTTTAGAATATTATTTATTAATGGATAAACATATTATGTTATTGTTATAGGTTAGATATTTTTCATTTTTATATAATAACATTAGAAATAAAGTTTTAAAAATTCATTCTCAAGGGATTTTTATATACACAATAAAATAAAGATTAATTTTCTTAATTATCATCAATAATATTATTAGATATATTATCATATCTTTATTATATTTAGATAGTATTTTCAAATATTAATATCTTAAAGATGTTGCATATATGTTGATTATTTCCAAATATGTATAAAAACATAGGCTAACCAAAATTGAATTTTAGCCTGGGAATATATCCAGGTACCTGCGGAAAATGTATTATCACTTATCTACAGAAATTGATCCACTATCTATTATTCTTATCTTTGATCCTGGTAAAAATCGGGAAATTTCCAATTAAAATTTCTGGTATAAATTAATCGAGTCAATCCAATCATTGCAACTTTTTTTCAAAATCTCGAATTTTTTTTTTTTTTTATTCCATGATGTCTTCGTCTCCAAAACATAACGCCTTAAAACAGTCAATTACAACTGACTCATTTATTCCTTTCTCCATTTTACCTAGTCCTTTTAAGACAGTTTTAGTGATTAGTGCCTTACAACACCAACAGGCTGCTCAAAAGGTCGCTGAAATTGAACAAGAAGTAAAAAATGCTGGTGGTATGTACGAAGATTCGGACAGTACACCTTATTATCGTGAATTTTTTTTTTAATTCAACCTTTTGAATTATTAATAGCATAGTATTCAAAGCCTTTTTTTCATTAAAATAGTGAACTTGCCGTTGATTGCAATGACAAAAGAAGAAAAGGTCGTATATTCAAACCTTATGGCAGACTTAATTCCATTATACGCAAAATACAATCGATTAATTCCATTACATTACATTATTTACAAGAATGATGATACAGCAACACGGAATCTTATAGCCATGGTAATTTGATAGTTTATTTTTTTTGTTACCTCGATTCACCGCGAGTCAAACGATGACATCACTATTTGATTATACGTCCGCCATTTTTATTTTTATTATTATTACTACTTTGATAATAGAAATACCTTATACAACAACAATTCATAGCACTACCTGACGAACAATATTTCTTAACGGTTGATGAATTACAAAGACATAAAGATTTACTTCAAGAACTTGAAAAATATGAACACGCAGTAGAAAAATTACAAAAATCTGGAGGATATGCTGCGTGTAGCGTTCAGTTCCTTTCAAAACAAGGAGACTCATCATCTCGTAAAAATCTACCAAATGAAGCATCCGATACTGAATATTCGCTCCCTCCGTTGAAATCCGGCGCTAGAACTCTGGCCAAATTTTTATCGTTAGTTGAGGATGATTCTTTGGATGATCTTTCAAATCGTGTAGGGGATATATTAACATCAACTAAAAACACTGTTCGTCAATCTGGTACTTTAAACAAAAAACACAAAACCCAATTTTCTTTAAATACGAACAATGAAGCTAGTAAATGTAAAGGAGAATTTACTTTATCAAAGACTGGATGTCAAACCAATCACGATTTCGTTGCATCAAAAAATGAGTTTGACAAACAACGCGACAAAACAATAATGTCTATTGCTAATGACTCAGCTCGGTCTCATGGTGATTATGGAAGACAACATTGAATCAATCTTTCATTATAATATTATAATAATTATTAATTGTTGATGTATTACACATTACCTGGAGAAAATTTATTTAATAATTTTTATCATAGGAATTTCACACTCTCTTAAAAATAATAATAATAATAATTTTACTATTATGGATCTTTTTTTAAGAATTTTCCATAGTATTTATTTGTTTTGATATAAAATAGCAAAAATAGTTGTCAAAATTAGCTCCCAAGGTACTGTCACCATTGTACAACATAAGGAGATTTGAACTAGATTTATTTAAGGTAAGATTAAAGAATAGATGTAATCATAAATTCTTTACCATGTGGTCATATGTTTCGGGTGACAAATTTGAGATATTCGTGATTTTTAATTTAAAATGCCCATTATTATTTTTTCTAATTGATCTGAGTCAAACCATGTGATTGGCTACGCATCTATGATATTCGGATTTCGATAATCATCGATTGATCATTGGTCAATAAGAAATACATAAACATTTCGTAAATTACATAAACAACTCTCTTTAACGTAATTTTTAAACTTGTAAAATCTTTTTTTAAAAAAAAAAAAAATAATAAAATAATGCCTCGAGAAAAGAGCGGCAGAAAAATGGTTCAACGAAAGTTATCTGATATGTTCTCTTCCACTAAAAGGGAGAAAGACTCTAATGAAAAAGATAAACCAAAAAAGAAAATTAAACAAACTGTTGAAAAAAGTGTAAGAGAGGGAGGACAATCTATAATCGTTAATGAAGAAGGAAAAAGCGACCCAATTATTGAAGAAAATATTCTTTTATCATCACTTGAAGTTTCGAATTCAACTTCTACTAGGCAAAAGTCTCGTACTAAAACATCATCAAGTCGTCCAAGGATATTGGATGAATCTGATGATGAAACATTCGAGGAATATAACGATGTTGAAGCTTTCGTAGATGAAAACGATGTTATTCCCCTTGAAGTTTCATTCCCAGAAGTTATAAGTGAACCAGAACAATCACCAAGAAGTGACTTGGATATTCGATCAAAGCTTAGTAAGGGCCATCAAAATCAATCGAGTTAATTTAAATAATAACAGGTCGGTAAATCGAATACTAAGGTGTATATATATATATTTTTTTTTTTTTAGAATTTCATGATGAGGACTTTACACCGATAGATAAATTTCTTCACGCGTTTGACCTAAATTATCAATTCGGTCCTTGTGTTGGATTAACAAGATTAGCTCGTTGGGAGAGAGCGCATAGACTTGGATTAAACCCACCTAAAGAAGTTATTGATACTTTAACTTCTGAAGCTGTAAAACAAAATCCAAAACTTAACGAATCTGTATTTTTTGGAAGAGTTTGATTCCTTTTCTTTAAAAAGAAAAAATTACTCATAGATGATAGATATTTCGATATAAGAAACCATAACGAAAGCAAATTTTTGTCAATAAACCGCGAGATTTTTAATAAAGAATTATATTTTCATTACAATTTTTATTCAATTACTTTGATGTGAGAAATATATCAAGTATTTAATTTGTTTTATTTTGACCCATCATTTTTATTTCTATCTTCCCTCCTGATTCTCTCGTTATACAGACATTTTCATTTTGATTTGAGCATGTGGTTTATAATCAGTAATAATAAAATCGCTATATTTAAAATCATCTATATCATTAATTTCGCGTTTAAATTCTAAATGAGGAAAAGGTTTTGGTTCACGTTCAATCTGAATCTTTAAAGCATCTATATGATCAGTATAAATATGAGCATCACCCATCGTATGAATAAATTCTCCAGGACTGCAACCGGTTACATGAGCAATCATACGAGTTAATATGGCGTAACTAGCAATGTTAAAGGGTACTCCAAGACCCATGTCACATGATCTTTGATAAAGAAGGCATGATAAACTTCGTGTATGGTGCAACCCCGATGATACGTAGAATTGACAAAACATATGACATGGTGGTAATGCCATTTTCTTTAAATCTATAAATCAATAATTCATTATATAATTTTTTCAAAAAAAAAAAAAAATATTATATATATATATATATTTAAATGATTACCAGCTGGATTCCAAGCACTTAAAATTATACGTCTATCATTTGGACTATTTCTAATTTTATCAATAACTTCTTGAAGTTGATCAACACCTTTACCTGTATAATCAGTGTCACAAGTAACATATTCGGCACCAAAATGTCTCCACTGAAATCCGTAGACAGGTCCTAAATCACCTTCATTTCTATGTGACAATCCAATTTTATCCAAATATTCACGAGAACCATTACCATCCCAAATATGAATCCCTTTTTCAGTTAAATGTTTACTATTAGTATCACCTTTGATGAACCATAATAATTCTTCTATAACTGCACGCGTAAAAACGCGTTTTGTTGTTAACAAAGGTAAAATATTATCGCGTAAAGAAAATCGCATTTGTGGTGGTGCAAATATTGATAAAGTTCCTGTTCCCGTACGATCTTCTTTAAGTTCTCCATATTCCATTATATGTCTAATAAGATTAAGGTATTGATGTTCTTCGTGTATTGTTGAAGTCGGTTTTAAGAATGGTATAGTTTTTGGTGGTAATGGGTTTGAGGGCATAACAGGTACTGCCTCCCATTCTTTCACCACTTGTGATTTATCAGAGATCTCTTCGTTTGCTACTACCATATTAGCAAAATAGAGAAAGTTATGATTAGTTTGTTTCGATTTTCATATCTGATTTTATAGAACTTTTTTTTTGTATTACATACCCCGGATTTTTGCGATGCGAAAATTATCAGTTATAAAATGAAATGCTAGAATTAGGTAAAAATCCCTTTTACAATTCTTTTAATCAAATAAACTTTATTTAATAAATTTTTTTTTTTTTTTATAATTGGCCTGAAAAATAACAAAGAACTATATAATTAATTCTATATATATTTTTTTTTAAAGTGTGGTTAGCTTCGCATAATCTTTATTAAATGTAAGTAGATTATAAAAAACATACAAGAAAAGAAAATACAAAAAATTCTAAATACTTTAAACTAGTTAAAACAAATCAAATTCAATCTTGCACCTTTTTAGACAAATAACCTAATCAAAAGGAAAGGAAAGGAAACTATCCAGAGTGAGGGGCTGGTTGCTGCCTATCCAAAAATTTGTCCAGTCATTACCATACCATACCTAAAGGAAGAGATAAAAGAGAAGAGAATAATTGAAGAGAATGTGAAAATTCATTATTGATTTATAAGGATTTTTTACTAGACAATATGATATTATAAGTTTTTCAACTTTTTTAAAGAAGGCATATCAATCTTTTCAAATGTTGTTTGTGATGACAAAACTTTTGTGAAAGAAGTATGAAAGTAATAAATTAGTAATATTTAGATCTTTGTATCAGTTAAGGTTGTTAGATAAAATCTAGAGTTTAAACAGACAGTTAAATAGTAAAGGTAAAACTTGGTATAATTTTCCTTTTCTGAATTTCACAGATTTTCTATCAAAACTTAGAAGCATATCAAATACTTAGTAAAAATTTAGCAAGATTAAAGGTTTAGACATTTAGTCAAATCCAAAATGAGTTTAGATAAGCAATCTTAATATCAGATAATTTTACTAGGATGATTCCTTTAATGATGTCAAAAAATGGATATTTTAGAATAGAATAGAAAAAAAACTTAAGAGTTTCTGATTATTAAAATTATTGGAATTAAAGTTATTGAAATTATAATAAAAGAGTATTCTTTAAGAATTTAATAATATTTTTTAATAGATTGAATATGTTTATATTTAAAATCTTTAAAATTGATTTGATATTTATAGCAAGTTCACTTTTATTGATATAATACTATCATTTTTAAAAATCCTTAATTATTAATAATTTTTGTATATTTATAACATTAACTTATAATTGATAAGAAATAAATAATTGCTTGAGGAGTTCTGATTGAAAGGTGTAATTTAGCTTTGAATATTTTATAGAAAGTACTCATAATAGAGTTAAGAAATTGGAAGTGAGAAATATTGTTTAGATTTTATAATCAATTATTGATAAAATGATCATATTGAAGATTGAGAATAATTATTTATTATTAAACACTTTCTTTTATTATATTGTAGAAAAGGTAATCTCATCTTTAATTTGTTGTGTATAAATTTTTATTTTGATTAATTAATATTCAAATTTTTAGGTAATAAATAGATATTTTTGGATCAGTTAGTTTAAGCCAAATATTGATATTGGATAGGTTAAATTTGATTTGATAAGAGATATAAGTAATAATAAGTTTTTTCAATTTACTTTAATATTATTTATATTATAAAAGTAAAAATTGTTATAATATCATTTAAATTATTTATTGATTTGCTTAGCAATAGAGTATTATTTATATACACTAAAACATGATATTTAAGCATTAATAGTAATCAGTGTAGGATCAAGAATATTTATTAGATATGTTAATTTAAGTAGTAGTTAAGAGATGATTATTGAATTTTATATAGGAGGAATTATAGTATATATATCAAATTATAGAAAGGATTATTTTATTTTGATAGATTTCTGAAATAACTTTATAATCTTTAATATTAAAATAGTGTATAAAAACTTGATTTTAATATAAAAAGAAGAGAAACAAATGAAATTAAAAAAAAATTATAGGTGATTTGAACTAGATTATAAAAGTAACTTTATGATTTATTGGTAATTTCACAATTTATCAGTAACTCATAATTTAATTATAACTTTATAATCTATTAGTAATTTTATAACCTAATTATGTAATCTAGAATTAACTTTATAATCTAATTATATAAATTAATAATAATTTAATAATCTTATTTTTTGGATACTTTTCAGTTTTCTAATTATTATTTTAATTAATTTCTGATATATTATAATAAGAACTTCATAATTTAATAATAATTATAACTTTTTAATCTAATGTAATTTTATGATCTAACAGTTACTTTTTTTATTATCTTTAGCTTTTTTATTGGTAAGAAGTTATCTATCTATTTTTATGCT